TCTTAGATTTTTTACACCATATTCGCTTATGCATGTATTTATATATCGAATATATTCTAATTTTATTTTAATTTTTGGCTGATTAGCCAATCGGCCATATAGGCCAAAGCTTTTAGTTGGCTGCTGCAAATTGCCAATCAACTTTGGCTGCAAAATTTTGGCTATTTTTTGGCTGGCTAGACAAAGATTGGCCAATAGCCAACTAAATCACTTGACGGCTATAAATTGCCAACAATGCAGTAGTGTATTGCTTTGTTACATACTAACGAATCTGCTGATAATATTTCAGTTCCCTGGGATGATACAATATGGAAATTTCTTTTATTGTAATTCTTATAAATTATTTTTTTATACGTATAAAAAGTAAAAAAAAATTTAAAATAAAGAAGCGCAATTTTTTTTATATAAAAAGTAAAAAAAAAATTTTAAAATAAAGAAGTGCAATTTAAGTAAATTTCGATTTGTTATTTTTCAAATGCTTGCAATTACGCAACCTTGTATTATTAAAAAATATTTCATAATAATTTCGTAATTACAGAATCGGCCAATTATATTTTTGCAAAATAAAAATTGATTTACAAATGATCGACATAAATTAGCCAATCAAACGAACTTCTTCCTATGAACCGGTCTTTTTCAGGACCGATGCAACCCTATTTTTAAATAAATCCATTTCTACAGTATCAACGCAAAATTCTTCCTGAAGACAGTATTAGATATTAATGTTTCTTAGCTTATATTTTATCTATAATATTGGTACCGACATGCAGCGACTTTTTAACTTACAAATAGTAATATACGTACTGTACATAAATTTATGCAGTTTAATACTACAATAACTTTTTAAGGCAGCCGTTGTTAACCTTATTGAAAAATCATTTATTGTATGACAATGCTGCTCCTCAGTGGTTTTTTTTAAAAAAAAAAACCCCTTAGTGTGCTGCCCCACACATTTTAACATTTGTCGTATAGGGTCACGTTTTATTGTATACGCTAATATTTAAATATTGAAATTTTTTTTGTTAAAAAAATATACCCAATCACTGTGTAAATATTTAGTCTTTGTAATTGTTTAATCTTAAATGCAAAAATATAAATGATCATCAAAAAAAAAAGGATCACATAATTTAAGCCCCAATGCAAAAAGGGACTGCCACACAAACTTTATCTAAATTTATTATTGTGCATTAAGGGCAATCCCGAACCTTGTTATACGATTTAAGAAAATAATTCATATAAACTACCAAATCTACATTGCAGTGTATAATAAATTACGGATGGATTTTCATAGAATAGGAAACAATGGCTCAGGTCATTTAACCTTTTCAATACTACCAAGTCACTTCTAAGTCGCGTGTTAAACTTTTAAATTGTGACACTAGATACAATATTTTATGACTGACTGTTCTTTTTCCATTTTCAAAAATAATTCGTTGCTCGGTCTAATTCTCGAAAACTACCAAAAAAAAACATAACCTGAATAATAAATGTTATTATATTATCCTATTTTAAAAACGCATGATTTCGGAATTAATAACTTTTATTACACTATAAACCGGTAACATGGCTGATGAAATTAAAGATAATTATTAGGTTTAATGTGACAAAGAGTGAAGATTTTATCATTACGAATAAGGCTTCTTATTCATATAATTTAACAAAAATACTAAATAATAAATATAGAAAATTGTATATACTGGAAATAGCAGCCCTAGAAATAATTCTAAAAATCGCAGGGAATACATCATGGAGGCACAAAAACAGAATAATAAGGAAAACAATAGGTGATATAGTATATATTACCGTGTTTTTTCACATGCCTTTTTGCATTTAATTTCATTAAACTTACAAATATATGCACCCATAATTATTTAATGTGGGCTCCAAAACAACAATGATAAATATAGATTCAAATAAATAGCACATGACCCACAGTTATTTAACATACAAATATATGCACCCCATAATTATTTAATGCGGGCCCCAAAACAACAATGATAAATATGGATTCAAATAAATAACATGACCCACCATTATTTAATTGTGTGCTCCAAAAGCTTTGTCAAATTAAGAAATATATTTCGGCGAAAAAAGATGGCGTTAATATTCTATAATTATTACACTGCTTTAATCATTTACATAAATGAAATATCATAACTTCGTATAGTTAACAAACTAAACTAATTTGTATATGAGAAAGTAAATTACGATCAGGATCACCGTACCTGACATGCTTAAAATAATGTAAGCAATTCTTTATATCGATTATGGGTAAATTGAGTAAATTGAATGAAAGTTTAAACAATATGTTATAGCAATGATAAAAGACTTGGCGTTCTGGTTAACATAAAAGACTAACAAAATAGAAATAAATTGATAATTAGATTAATGTGAGGTCTAAATTAACGCGTTGTTTACATTCTACACGATTAGTAAACTATTGGCATAAACAAAATACATATGATAATTGGTTTTACGCATTCCTTTGTTCATTCATTTATTCATCATTCATTAAATGTTTACGGACTTTAGCGAGCTGTAATCTGCAAACAATTTAAAGTTAGGGTATTTTATTTAGGGTTAGGATTAAAGTCGAAGAATAGTTACTTTACAACCCTGAGTTAAAAATTAATGATCTCACATGATACGATATTTTATTTTAGAGAATTGCTATCGCCATCCCACATGACCTAACCGGCCTCCGAAGTAACGTTACACGAATCAAAATAGAGATCACGAGACATTAGAGGAGATGCATCTCGCGAACTTTAGAGGTACGTACGTACGTACACGAAATTTTTGTTCAAATGACCCATATAATATTATAGTTCAATCAAATAAATCTCATTGGAACAAACTTCCGGTTCAAATGAACCCGTATCTGGTTTCTTTGAACCAACTTCTGGTTCAAAAGAACCTGAATTTGGTTTCTTTGTACCAGGCAAATAGAAAATCCGGGATAGGTTACGTTAACTCCGATTTCCGAATTAATAATCATTAAAAATTTTTTCATTATAAAAAAAATATATATTCGAATAAAATGATCTAGCTTCTGTATAATGAATAAAAAGAAAATTGGCCAAAGGCAAAAAAAAGAGTCATTTTGACGACAGCAGCTGCTAACAAACTCGAAAAGAATACATAAAAAATAAAGAGTTAAAAGAAAATTGCATAATGCAAAATGTTAACAAGAAGATAATTTATTTTGATTATATTTCTGTATTTTAGAGCAAATTATATTCCTATCTGTACAATATAAAAATTCTAAGTCATGTTTTTTCGAAACTTATATTGTTAATATTTGAAGTCCGGTTACCGATATTTAAATTCGGAGATTGACGTAACCTGTCCGAGATTTTCTATTTGCATTATTTATTATTATTGGTCATGTTTACATTTGTTTATTGTTACATTACGATTAAATAATTGTTTATTTACAAATTTTGATAAAAATTTTTTTCACCATTGTTTAAACACAGAATTTAAACAACGGCAACTTCTTTGTGCCCTATTTCTAAACATAAGGTTATTCTTTGTTTTTATTAAAGCAATTATTAATTAAATCCAGACCCTATCAAAGATAATACGTCTCAGCGAGATGTCAACGCAAAATTCTCCCTGAAGAGTTATTCTATCAGTGTATTATATTTTGCCTAAAATTTTGGTATCGTTATACAGACGATTTTTTAACTTACAAATAAATGCACGTGCATAAATTAATTGAAATAATTAATTGTAATCTATCCCCAAAATATCGGACCGATTAATGGGTCACGTTTTATTGTACCAGGTTTGTGAAAAGTCCCTAAACAGGACTTTTTTTTTGTCATCTTTGTTAATATTAAAGGTATTTTTTATAAATCTACATTGTATTTGCAACACGTCATTTAGTGATTAACAGAAGGATCCTCCGAGAACTTTTGACTTACCTGAGCATATAAATTATAAGCAACGTTTAATATTAGTTGAGGTAGCAAAAAAGGTCCTATTTAGGGACTTTTCGCAAACCCGTATCCGATCATTATATCAAGATTGTGGTTATTCGTAAATATTTAATCTTCATAATTGTTTAACCTCGCAAAGTATCATTAAAAAAGATCACGTAATTTAAACCCTAATGTGAAGGAACTTTTTTACTGCCCACCACACAAATTTTATTTATATTATTACAGTATTGCGTTAAGGACAGTACCGATACTTGTTATACATTTAAAGATAATAATTCTTCAATAAATATTGGAACTCATAAATTCGCAGCCATATAAAAAGTATAGATCAACCCGGACTATTAGACTCTAAACCATTTTTTGAATCAATACTGTTGTATGCGTCTTTTCTTACAGATATATTTTCTTACTTGGATGCGGCGTAAAATTGATTATTATCACATTTTAATGCTTCTATAAATTTCATGATTTCTTAAATAACTTTCTTGACACGTGGCCGTGGGGCGCTATTACGTATTATACAGCTTAAATAATTTTTTATTGAAGCATTGCAATTATGGAAATTTATTATCAGTAATTTAAAATGAAATAAATAAATGGCGCTACCTTCTTCGAATCTTGAATTTTTTTATCTCCAAGAATACTATTTACTTTAAATTAAATTTGATTCACAACTACATTTTTAACGGTTAGAACAAAATTTAACTTAAAATAATACATAACAATTTCATGAATCTAATTGAAAGACTATACAAATACCTTTAATAAACTTAGCGACTGAATGGGATAAGTCAGTAAATATCATTCAAATCTTTAAACCATAATAACTCAACATAAACTTAATCAAATTTGATAAAAAATTTTAAATAAATTCTGCAAATTTTGCAAACTTAACTTGAAAAATTTTATCGAATTTTGTCAAATTTTTATTATATCGAAGTTTCAAACAAATATATTGAAAACCTGTTTTACTCCCATTGCCTTACTCCATATTGCCTTTTTTATTATTTAAATCTAAAAAAAAAAAATTATTCTACCTAAATTGTCGCAATTATGAGTCAAGTTACCAACATTCAGCCACAAAATAATCAACGACAAAGGCTTTCAAATGTTGGTATATCTCAAAGAACTCAAAGAATTCGAAGAAGTCAACGGCTTTCAAATATTGGTATATCTCAAAGAATTCAAAGAACTCAAAGAATTAGAAGAAGTCAAAGAATTCAAAGAATTCAAAGAAGTCAAAGAATTCAAAGTCAAAGATTTCAGAGAACTCAAATAATTCAAAGAACTCAAAGAACTCAAAGAATTCAACGACAAAGAGCTCAAAGAATTCAACGAACTCAACATGATGTAAATCTATTCATCAATACCGCTTTAGTTCAACGATATAATGAATTAGTTGAAGGAGCAAGTCTATTTGATGGATTACGAGGTCCAGGTATCCAATTACAAAACGCTGAATCCCAAACTGAGATGTTTTTTGGACTTTCTTTCACATAAGTTAAATCGAAAAGAATATTATTTATGATATAAGCTTTTAAGATGAAAAATAGTTATGGTTTTAAGCATTATTATGAATTAGTTTAAGGAGGGAATTCATTTAGTGGATTACGGGTTCAGAAATCCAACTATAAAACACTGCTTTCTTTCACATAAGTTAAATTGTGACTTATGCATATAAAGTATTTTAAGATGAAAACTAATAATTCAGCTAGTTTTAAATTCCCGCTATTTCGTTTAAACAATTATACTGTTTATAAAGAAGGTTTAGAAATGATTAGGTTTTTCTAATTTTAAATATTAAAAATATAAACATTAATTAAGAATTTTAAAATTATATTTCGGATACCTATCTTTCATAATAATCAATTTACTTAGAACTGCGTAACACGAAATTATTACGTTAAGCTTTAATATTTTAAACAAAACATAATTTTCGTTTTACAAAAAACTATGAAAGGGTAACTTTATTAGATTGGTTCAACATTCATTTCTGTCGCAGTTGCTCGAGCTATTATTGCCAAAGGAGGAATTCTTTCAAGATATTTTGCACGGCGTCTTCTCATCCATTATGGCAATTATGATCAAAAATTTATCGAATTAAAGATTGTTCATAGCGAAAAACAAACAGAAATAGATGGGATTAGGACATTGCAACAAAAAATTACTTTGTGAGCGAATAATTTGCCGATTGTTATTTATATGGTTTATTAACAAAAGTTTCTAATCTATTCAACGCTGATTTATATTAAAAGGAAATGATATGGAACTTTTTCATTTTCTTTCTAGAGGTCCTCATAATATTAATTATGCACCAACTGTTTTAGAAAAAAATTTATGAGGAGATCAAGGATCTAACTTTACATAAGAAATTTGTACCATTTCCGTCAAGAAAACCCGATGTGCAAATAAATTTGCCAAAGAATATCCACCAAAAGATGGATATGAAATAACCGTTAACTTAACGTAATTGAAAGCAGTGTTTAAAATTAGCTTACATAAGATGCACATGTGCAGGAACTATTTTTAATGTGTAAGTTTAATGGATTGGGTTGGAATGGGTTAAGTTGAACTATTCCTCAATCCACTCCAACATGGGTTGGGCTCATTCCAGTGCTGCTCTGGAGTAGAGTTGTTAGCTGAAATATGTGTCAAAATAACAAAATCCTAAATTTGACCAAATGTTTAAATATTTGACTAAATAGATATTATATGACTAAATATCTAAATTAATAACAGTGTATATCGATATGTAAAATCTTTATGTCTTTTTAGGTAATACTAGCATAATAGTGAATAATTCCAATATGATAAGTAATACGTACGATAGCCAGCAATTACTATTACTCATATGATTATGCATATTGTATAGTTAAATGAATTGGTTAAAAAGTTTTTTTAAAACCAATTATAAAGAGAATAAATTCTTTAAAGTATATCTTATATAAGATAAATCTATTAATTAGTTAATTTAGACATTTCGATACTAAATGTCGAAAGTCAAAATATTTCTACAAACTTAAAATAATTTCTGCTAACAAGGCTACTCTGGATAAAACTGCTCCATTAGCAACCCTATGTGTAAAAAATTTATGCAAATGTGTAAAGAAAATTTTGAAAAAAAACTTGCACAAATTGATATCGAAAAAACTATATTAGTGCAAGCAAAAAAAAATAAAAAAATTTTTTTTTGGCTTGCAACTATGAAAGTAAAAAAATTCTTTTACTTGCAATTGTGCAAGTAATTTTTGTTCTAAATTTTAAATACTGATTGCAAGATCAATCTTGATTCATAAAGACTTAGTACTTTTATGGAAAGAAATCGGTTACTTTGAAATATGTGAGGACGTTAATGATCTTGTAATGCAAGGAGCACTTTTAATTCTATTTCCTCCTGCACAACCTCCTGCATTGACTAAACCTGATGACATGGCTGCTAAAGCGTGGCTTACTGAATCGATTGATCTAGGGTTCCAATTAAATTATGGTATTATTATCGACAGTTTTGACCTTTTTTGAAAGTCAATCAAACGACATTGGAAAGGTCTTAGTAGATTCTTTTGCGGAAATTAATCAAGAGCAACAAGATAGTTTTTACAATGTTTGGTTGAAACTCTAAATCCCAATAAATTAAAGAAGAGCTCAAATGTAATGAATTTCTTAACCTCTATATTAATAAGGTTGTACTAAATTAAACTTCGGTTAACATCTTCCCTTTCCTCATTCGATTGACCCTCAAAAATTAAACAACAACCAACCAATCAATCAAAATGGCGAATAATTTTCACTAATCGCAAGATTTTTTTTTATCAACCATGAATTGGCCCCATATTGCTTAGTGTAACGAAATGTGTTTGCTCAAAGCTCACTCACTCATTCAAGGCAAGTATATTGATTAACTAGCTATTAACTTCGGGTATTTCTATTGAAATCTCTAGATTAAACTTTAATTGGTCATAATAGATTTGAAACTCAAAATAGGATCATTTTACTTGCTCGTTTCAATTCATTCCAGGTGTTCTTAAAAGTGTTGCTATCCGAAGATTTAACTGCATGTGATTTAATTTATCGAGCTTAAATTGAAGTTGAAGAAAAGTTATTAAAATAATTTCTTATTAAATTATTTTTAATTTTTAATAACATATATTTAATTTATATTTTTTGAATCTCGTAATGATACCCCTGAAATTTTCAGTGCGTTGTAAATTTACAAATAATTTTGCTGAATTCGTTGTTTTTGAATAAGTATCAACCGCTAGCTATAAAAATAAATCCGAGTATTTAAACCTGGCTTAACAGATTATGAAAGCATTATACCATAAGAATTAAAGCTTGAAACTATAAAGTACATACTTGATATAAAAGAAATTTAGAGATTCTAGTTACATTAAATAAGCATCACACCCTCTACTCCACCTTTTAAATATCAGGTTATTAGAAATTGAAATGAAATCATTAGCTAAATAATCCGATTTTTAAAAAGTAGATAGAGGCACGATGCTTATTCACGATAGGATATAGTAGTAATTATATATATATACCATATTGGTTATTTAATTATTTTGAAGTTTACGAGATATTTAGTAGTTCGATATTTATTGCAGCAGAATAAAATGAATTTTGTGTAGTCTAAAATAGACGACCCACCAAAAAATACAAATTTTTAGAGTGCATTTTTAGCATTATTTTAAGTGGTTAAATAGAAATCTTAAAATTCGTTTTAATTCAATTTCATTTTTATCTGTGACATTTAACAATATAAATTTGATTTCTGAATTTGTTTTTTATGAAAATAAGTTAGACTTTAATTTATTTAAATTGTCGGGTTTTCTTTTGGCGACACTCATTTGTTAAGCGAATATCGAACGTAAAATAATATTAGTGTATCACCCATGCTATTCTTAATTTTTACTAAACAGGATTTCAAAATTTTCCATTTCCTGCGTGTGTCATGTGAAAACAGCTGTAAATTATACACCTGTATTTGAATGTTAAACAATATGTTTTATTTCCATTGTTTCCGATGTTTCACAAAATCCTTTCATTATTATCGGATGTGTTATATGCATAACAAAAATATACCTATAAAAGTAAAGAAAACAATTAAATAAGAAATTTTTGGCAAATATTTGGCGCACCGACAAAAGCCATTTGCATGGACAGTTTATAATAAGCAAAGACTTAAGTATGCTTACAATGAAATTACTACATACGGAAATGTAATTTTTTCTCATAAAAGATCTGGAATTCGCAAAATAGATTTGTTCGAAGTTTCTTCACTAATCTCTTGTTAACTAAATTTGAAATCTTGCGGAGAAAGTGATTTAAATCAAAAATCCGTTTGTCCGAGGTTTATTTTCACTAATCTCTTGTTGACTAAATTTGAAAGTGAGATAAATGTCTGTGGTAATAAGAAATAGGGTACTTCAATTTTTAATTTATTGTTTTTTACTGTATATAGTTTATTTTGTTTAAATTAATGTCGCGGCTGATGCTGAAACTTTGACCTATTTTATTATGAAATTTTAAAAATTTTTTGGGCCTTTTCATTAGGGGTTTTTTTATAGGGTTGGTTAAGTGTTGTTAGTAAAAAAATATAGTGAATTTTAGTAGGTATTATAAATTTAATTGGGAACCCAAATTTCGACATCAGCCGCGACAATAAATTATGTATAATCGGAAATGAAAAAAGGGCATTAACTTAATATCAGTTATTAATATCTGTAATCTAATATTTCTTTGCTGATAAATCTGCGACAGCATTTAGGTGTCACCTTGATTTACTTCTGTAAGACTAATTAATACAGGGAGTCGTAAAATTTACTTTCTGATAGATTGTTTAATTAATTTGTACCGCGGTGCACCCTCAATCACATGACATAAATTATCGTAAACCCTTAATTTTTTAACATAAATTTTATAAAAATTTTACATACAACAAATATTATAAAACATACTGAAATACCAGAAACGCCCAATCTAACCGACCCTAAACTACCTACCCTACCCGGCTATTATGTAATACTAATTCGAATCAACACTAACTATATGATACTACATAACAACCGTTTTTAGAGACAACAGCATCTTCAATAATGGTAAGGTGGACACAACAAAGACACCACAACTAACAGTGACACCTGCCTATAATGGCAACAATTATACAGGTGCAAAACTAACACTATGAAGAAATAAGTGATTTTGTTATGCAACCACAAAGAACTTCAGTAACACTGGAAGCAATTCGAATGATAAGATTCACTTTAAAGGCAATGCAAATAAAATGACACCCACCTATAGTGATGACATAGTGAGAATCTGATACAACAACTATAAAAAGAAGAGCGGAGAGACTAGTTATGAAACTACAAAGTAAATATACCAATAAAAACTCCAGGCAACACCAGAACAAATCAAAGAATAAAATTTATCCAAAAGCAATACAAATACAATGATACCCACCTATATTTGTAACATATTGAGAAGCTGATATAATTAAT